TTTCGGCGGGATTTTCGATTTGCAGCAAAAGGAATCACTCCCCCTCAGATCCAGGAGCTCTTCATCACCTCAGAGGCGAGTAACATCTCGCCCAACCTTGTCCCATTCTTTTTAAACGTTTTCAAATGGTTTTATTGAGATCTCTTTGGCCTAAAACGTATTTTGTGTACCAAGATTGGATTTTATTTGCATATAACATGAAGATGTGCATTTTCAGTTTGATAAATAACCTACTAATGTTTGGTAAATTTAAAATCCAGATCCGAAATGTTTTATAGAGATTTAACATGAGTTTCGTTTTGAAAAGTGTTTTTAAAGCATAAATACATATGTTTAGAGTTTTATTTATGTATTTGTACATGAAAGTTATGTTTCAGTTAGCCCATACATGTTAAAATACGTATGGTTCATGCTTGGAATTGATGGGGATGTGTTTAGATGAATTTTCAGTTGAATAACAACCTGAGCAGAGTTTCTGCAGGCCATCGGTCGACTGATCAGTCGACCGACGGGCGTATTATCCAGTCATCAGTCGACTGATCAGTCGACTGACGAGCTGGTTGTGTTTTCACAGCTTCTCGGTCGACTGGTCAGTCGACTGGTGAGCTGAGGCTATGCTGTCTGAGCTTCATCAGTCGACACATGAGTCGACTGACGTCATCAGTCGACACATCAGTCGACTGATGAGCTGTTTTACAGATTCTTGATCTGTTTGAATTGTCTTTCGGGGTCGCCTCGATAACTTGACCCTAGCCTATTATGTTAATGATTTATCTGTACATGTGGGTTGACTTTTGACATAAGTTTAGACATGTACATCGGGATGCGTGCGGGTTTAGATTTGGTGTATTTTTCCATGTATGCTAGTGATAATTACATTTCCTTCATTTAGTATTTTTCCATGTATGCTAGTGATAATTACATTTCCTTCATTTATAGTCTACGTGTTGGACAATACATCATTTTGATCCATGTGTTGGATACTTACCATCTTGGTCCATGTGTTGGATATGTATTTTATTCAGTCCATGTGTTGGACCTGCATCACTTTTAGTCCATGTGTTGGACATTTTCGCCGAACCTTGAGCATGGTACACATTTGAGTTTTGGAACACGACATTTTGATACCGTTAAGTCATGATAGACACATTTGAGTTTTGGAACACGACATTTTGATACCGTTAAGTCATGATAGCTACCTAGACTGGGTATGACACTTATGTAGAATACGGATACCGTTAAGTCATGATAGCTACCTAGACTGGGTATGACACTTATGTAGAATACGACATGACATTTTTATGACGTGGGACACTACATGATACTCTGTTTATGTTCTGAGATGGGTTGTCTTCTCTTGTATTTGTTTTCTGTTCACGTATTAGACTCCGGGTTTGGTACTTAGGGATTTTTAATTTGGGATACAAGGTATATACATGAGGGTTTCCTTGTTTGGATTATTTCGCTCGACGTACCTATGCCCGTGTTGAAATTTCCTAAGTACTAAAGCCCATTGTGTATTTTTAGGATAATTGCTTATATATATATATATATGTTTTGTGATAACTGTATTTTCTTATACAACGAGCCCTATTCCTTGGGGTTGGTTGTGATGTTGCTCGCTAGCGCTTTGACGCTCGTTGTCCCTCCCCCCTTTTCAGGTCACGAGCCAGGAGCCCGGAGAGTCGCAGGTTGATGGCGACACACTTTAGTGTTTAGCAGTCTGTTATGTTTATGTTGGAGCTCCACTATAGATTTTGTTAGACATTTGAGAGTATTGTTTTAGAAGTTGTAAAGGCTGTGTGCCTTATTTCCTTCTTGTCAGATATTTGTATTTGAGACTTGTTGACCACTCCAGTTTATTTATTCAGACATTGACTATGTATTTTCATTTGTTGGGTGATGAGATATTTATTTGAATCACTAACATTTTTCATCAGCCCTTCGTGTATTACCTTTTACTTGCTTTTGTACCTACACCTGTTATTGATTCTACTAGATAGATGTTAATTGTGATGGTGAAACTTGTTGTTGCACGGTGTGGTGCATAGCAGGTTTGACATTCTTGGTTTCACCTTGGACTGCAGCCTTGTGTGAACCCAGGGGCGTCACAGAAATATAAACTAGGACCATCCTAATTACATCTAACATGATCCCTATAATAAAGAGAGCAACCAAGAGCTTCGAAGGCTTACTTTCGTATTGAGATTCGATGGTAGATCAAACAACCCCTAGCTCGTTCTCATTGTTGTTGTAAACCTCCTTGTAGTGGATCTCCAAGTCTTCAAGTGAGCTTAGTAAAATCAGAGTCTTCTTGAGACACAAGGCAAGATATCCACCCCGAGGTACTTTAAAATCCTACTGCTTTTTCTTACTCAAAGATTGCTAGAGTTTAGTAAGAGGTAGAACTCTCTTTTATTCTCTTATGGAAAAAACCACTTAGCTAATTTTTCATTAACCTCTTCATAAGAGAGAGAACTCATATATATAGAGTAAGATATGTCATGACTCATCTCATGAGTCATGCCATGAGTCATCTAAATGTAATGATTCCTTTCATGAGTCATGCAATGACTCATCTCATGAGTCATGCAAAGAGTCATGAAGAATCAAAACCATGTGCTAAAACCATGTTCCCAAACCATACCACATTAATGACTCATCTCATGACTCATTAATCAAGGTATAATGAAGTGTGTATTTCATAAATGAAAATACCACATCAATACGATATTTCATAAATATGGTATTTCGTAATTTTCTAATCATTAAGTAATAAGTAATCATATGACCAACAAGTCAATGAGTTGACCAAAAGTCAATTGTTGACCAAAAAAGTCAACCAATTGACTAAAAGTTAACTTTATGAAAAAATACTAGAATTTATTTCTTAAGCACATAGCATTCTGATTTTACCGATACATATAATCGTTTATGTGTATCCGGTGAAAATCATATATGTGTATCAATCATACGCATTAACTCTATAAATTGTATTTCATAGGATTTAAGTACGCGTTTGGTGTGACTTTAGGGCACAACTTAAGACTTGACAGTGGATCATATCCACAAGTACAACAGATGTGGTAACTACACATGAAGACTACCCGGGTATAAGTTATGATAAATGTCTGCAAAATACTTACACAATTTTATCAGGACCACTCATTGATAATATTGTACAGTCTGGTCTATTCGTCAAACTATGTCAAACTATAAATCCTACGATATGGAAAATTGTCAAACCCTAATAGCTTGATTAGTATTTGTTGATATTAAACTCATAACCTTTAAGATAAAACTGACACTCACTTTATCTTATTTACCTTGGCTAAGGATTTCCAGGCTATAGTTATATCAAACAATCTTATGACATCAACCCTATATACTGGGAGAGACGAATCTCATCTTGGCATTTCAATATCTACTTATGTCTCGAGATGCACCCAACAAGAATCATTATGCACAACTCAATGAGAACTGTGGTTAGGTAAAAGACTAAGTACACCTATACTGACATGTAAGATATTGCACTCATGCCTCAGGACAAGAGACTACTTTGTACTATATCACTTGAGAACTTCTATTTGACAGTTAAGTATTATTACCAACTAGACATTCTCGGTGAGTCGTTCAGTCAACTCATTCACTAATGAGGCACATGTATATTGTATCTTGATGTCTCGGCATCAATGATCTAAGAGATGGATCATCGTCCTTCTAAAAGACGAATAGAGTGTACACTAGTCTTTACCAAAATGATGATGTCCTATCTCAACACTTCATCGACTAGGAACATTTTAGAATATACGTTATCGACTAATCAGATCTCTTCTTCATCATAAACACTATCAAAATTCTGATAGTCTAGTATCATTCTAAGGACTTTATCTGTATTTTAAAAAATACCAGATAAATATTGACAAAAATAGCATACTATCATTTTGAATAAGAATGTTATATTCATATAGGTCATGTTACAATATACAATTATTGCCTGCAGGGCACCTATATCTAACACTTATCCCCGAGTCTTCCAAACTCCATGAAGACATCCCAGATGAGATATTCAAATCAAATGTTACCATATATCATCAAGTATGTCAACTTTACTTCGACAGCACGTTGCATTGTAATCACAAAAGAACAATCATCGTAGGAGTAGGGGTACTGCTTATTGATCCCTATGATCACGTCCTTCCCTGAGCTTATTTGCTAACTGAACCATGTTCTAACAACATGGCTGAGTACAATGCCCTATAATCAGCTTACAACTTGCCCAAGCACATAGCATTTTTAAACTGATTATCAATCAGATAAAAGGGAAGTATGAAGTTCGACACAATGACCTCTTACTCTACCATGAAGCAACATTAAAGCTTGCTCATTCTTTTGAAAGCTTCTACATCGATTACGTAGCCGGGCTTGAGAATACTTATGCTAATTCTCTAGCATTGCTGGCAGCTACGTTAGCGTTAATCTCCATGTCTACCAAGCGGAATATAGCAATAAATGATTTAGTTATTACTCGTGTGATGCACGGAACTTACATTACAAACATTATAATGGAAAAGTGAATATGAAGTAGTAACCCATTAGCAAAATGAGCTGTCATGAGAGAAAGTAGTGGCGAGGCTCCTCCTACTAATCAAGTTACATCGGGAGGCGTAGACCTCATTACCTTCACCATTTGATAGCTCATTTTGCTTAATTAATTGCCACATCATGACCATCAGACCCTCTATTCTATAATTATTGTGGTCACAATATAATTTAACCACTCACCAAGTTCATTCCATCATTGAAAACTAAAATAATTGACGGAAATAATATCTATATGTAACTTATTTCCAATATAAATCATTCCATAGTACATATGAGCTAGGGATGGATAATAACATGAACAGCGACGAGCACATAATGCATGCAATCTACGCAAAATGGGAAAGCTATTTTGTAGAATAGCATACACAACTCACAGGTCTCATGCAACATCTTGATTTATTCTCCCTGCCAACTTGCAACATTTCATGTAGATGAATTTAATGTTAAGATAACCACGATTTTCTGTACATTGGTAATGGAAAATTCAAAGGGACTTTTGTCCCTTGGAGGACACAAGTCTTACACATGGTATTTTAGTGTGTAATCAAGGTATTCTTATCACTGCAATCAAATGTGAGAATATAATGTCTCAAACTAGATCACAAAGCTCCCTCTAGAGTTATTACCAGTGCAATATAAATCAAACTAACATAACTACTTTAATACATATGATCGAAAAAATTTCAAGAAACATGATGTTTGCTCCTTCCAAACCTTCCAACCATCATGAAAATCTTCAAAAACAACTAATTTCTAAGCTACATTCTCATCCTAGCAATCCATTGACAGCTTCACCTTCCAGTTTAGAAACCTGAATATCAACAAAAATAATACAGGTGAAATTACTGAGCAAAAGAAATTATTGAGTAAACAAACTACTGCAGGATAATCAGTTGAAAAATAAAATAATGAGAGATTTTATGACAATCTTCTACCACTCAAAAGAATATCACTTTAGTTTCTCAAGATCTAGTAAAGGTTTTGAAGCTGTAATTCCACTTGCAGCATAAATATACATAGGAACTGAAGTTGTCGATATAAAGTGCACACATAAAATATCAAATGCATACAACATTTTCAGTAAAGAAAAGGGAATCTTGCTGCCCAGATGGATAAAGGGACCAGTCACTAACACAATCTATACATCATGAATTGGAGTAATTAGTTACACATAGAAGAATGGGCAAACTTCTTGCTTCCTTCTTTTTTTTCCCTCCTGCTTTCAATCTATTGAAAACTGCTGCTATGATAGAAAACTTGGTGACACACACGCACATGCACGCGCGCGCGCGAAACATGTGCACGCACACGCGCGCACACACACACATATGTACACATATATATATATCTTCATATATATACATACATACATATACATATATATATGTGTGTGTGCGTCTACACACACACATATCTATATCTATATATATATATACACACACACACACACACACACACATATGTATGTATACACACACACACATATATGTGTGTGCATGTGTGTGTGTATATAGTTTAGAAGTATATAGTCTAGAAAAAGCAGCAGCAAAGTAAATGCAGCAACCATTACTCAGCCAACTCCTGCTGCTAATCTCAGAGGACAGAAGAGTAATTCCCAATAGCATTCAATATATGTATATCTATACACGGGTGTGTGTGTGTACATATAGTTTAGAAAAAGTAGTAGTAAGGTTAATGCAGCAACCATTACTCAGCCAACTCCTGCTGCGAATCTCAGAGAACAGAAGAGTAATTCCCAATAACATTCTCCAATGACTTGAAAACACCACGATCTTGTATAGTTCATAGTCCAAAAGAGGATCTAACTGCCTACCCAAGATTTTGTATAGTTCATAGTCCAAAAGGTGGCAACTACTGCGTAATACACTAAGCAATTGAAGACAAATCCTAACAAACAAAATACACAATGCTAGACAAACAGGATATCATCGGACATGATACTAAAGATAAAAACTCAATTACAATATATAGCATGGACATCACCCATTTTTTGAATGAACTAAAGGGAGAAGATTAAAATTCTGCTTTCCTTTTTAGTCTCTTGAAACTGTGGCTTAATGTTGTTATGGTCGATTTATGAGTTCTGTATCTCAGTTTTGGGTTCAGTTTGTACAGTGTTAGAAAAATCGTACACGTATATTTCTTTCTGGGTTAAGTGCTAATTCACTCCGCTATGATATGGGCCGCTAGCCATTGATTACCCCTAAGCCATTTTATTAGCACCCCCTCCATGCATGTTGACAAGTAAAACAATTAATCATTAAACTTTCACCATCTTTTATAACATAAAGTATGTGATAATAATCGAAAAATTAAGATCGATGATCACCATTATCCAATAGGCGTCAGGCTGTAAGCTAAGAAAACAAACTCAAACAGTGAGAAGGATATAACGTACCCTTGGAAATTTAAGCCATACTTTGATATTGACATCAACACTAAATATTTTGAGTTCTGATTTTCAGATTTTCTTTGGTTTTATTGCACCTGAGTCATGCTTTGTATACCCCAAGACACAGGAAGATTCTCACTTTATCATTTCAATGGGTGTGGAAGTGATCACCTTGAATGGAACTTGCAACCTCAGGCGAATTTGGATATTCATGGTTATAGTCTGCTGTGATTAAGAAACTTGACACTCAATTGGAAATAAACATTAAGAATCAAAGGAACTTAATGGTATAAAGAATGAAAATGGATTCCTAATCAATTTTATTTCCTGTACTTAACTGAACTAAATATCTATACTACTTTAAAAAGAGGATGTGTGTCAGAACTTTTAATTTCCTATTTTGCTCCTGTCAATGTTTATAATTGTCAATATGATCTTCATCTCTAGTTAATCCTTCACTAATTATCTATAACCTCTTATTGACTATACATCTCACCACTTTCCCAAAACCTTTGGTCAATTTCTAGAATATACTTAATTATTTATTATAATAAGAACTATAAAATAGGTTATAATTTATTCTAAATGATTGTTAATTAGAACGAAGTAGTAGAAAATAATAATTTACTAAATTATTATACATAGTTATAATTATTAATAATTGTATACCTATTAAAGTTTTCAATGATAGAATGATCAAATAATATACTAATGAATACTATTAAGAATTAAAGTATTCTTTAATAAATAGTATAAATATTTTGCTAGTATTAATTAAATTAATATCATTCTATTATTCAATAATTATAATATTAAAAATTTTATTTAATAAATTAATAGTTGCTTTATATTTATTAATAATATTATAATTATACTATGCATAATTATTATAAATAAGAATAGTTACGAAATAGAATAATAATTATCCTAAATTAAAATGATACTATTATAACTATTAAGATATATTATAAAATAAAATAATTATTAACATATGATAATTATTTTAAAATTTGTGACTAAATTATTATAATTATTCATACGCTTCTTTATACAAATTTTATTAACATGGAATTTTAATTGTTCACCATTTTCTAGTTAATAATAAAAATTCAAAACAAACATATCTACATGCAAAGCGTGTGCAATATCTATGTTACCTGAGTACTTTTATCTAAGGTCGTACTCGTACCCGACACACACCCGTACTAGCAACGGAACTTACTGAAAACTTCTTGAATATAAGCATACATTTATTTGAGAGTGTACTCAATTATATAGTACATGTTTTAATTTAACACTCATCGTACACTTCTTAGACATATATCTTACACTTTACAGTTCTATTTTTTATGACAAGTGAATGGAAACCAATGTTGATCTCGTGTAAATTATTAACGTTCCATAGCACATGGTTATATCTACAATTAACCCCCTCCCCTCTCCTCCCTCCCTCTCATGTTGTTCCCATGTTTCTTTCCTTATTTTAGATTAGTGGTTTTTAGCTTTCATTTTTTTCTTCAGTGTTCTTTCAGAGTAATATGAAGACCTAGTTGAAGTCATATCAAGTTGATATGTAATAAGTTCTTTCAGAGTAATATGAAGACCTAGTTGAAGTCATATCAAGTTGATATGTAATAACGAGGATTACTAATTTTATGATACCAAAGCCTTTTTAAGAGTTTACTGATGGATACCGACAGAAACTTGACAATACTTGAGTAACATGATAGCATATCGAGTACAGGATAGCAAAATCGACTTTTGAAGCTATTTTACATCACCCCACCCAATGTATAAAATATCGGCCAATATATTGAATTATTGGCCGATACACTGATTTGACAGCTTACACAATGATATTGCACTTCTATTGCAGTTTGCGGGTTTAAGATCCCCTCCAATATATCGGGATATATTAAAAATATCGGTCGATATTTCGGTGCGAAAATATCATCCAATATTGGGGGTTTTGGTTAAAGTGTATGTTTGGGTTTAGGGTCCCAACCCAGCCCAAAATCAAAATTAACCCCTATCTGTCCTCATATTCTCAAATTCCCATCGTTTCAAATCTTGCTCTCAAAACACAAATCCCTCTTCATTCTTCTCTCATTCTCAAATCGCCAACCCAAGGTCCAAAGCAATCCCTGGTGGTTTTAAGTTCCTATGTCTCTTCTCTATCTCTCTTCCTCTCTCTTCTATCTCTCTCTCTCATCGCCCTCTCTCTTTATCTATCTCTCCCCCTCCCTTCCTAGTCTCTCTCCCTCACTCTCTTTTCTCTATCCTTCTCTATGTTTAGAATTCATTAAATATGTTTCGATTACAAATTAGAACATTATATTATGTATGAACTCCGTTATGACACCCTAATATTTCTCTAATTTTCGCAATCCGATTGGATCTCGGCCATCTAATATTTCTCCAATATTTGATATTCAATATATTGCCCTTACTGAAATTGATACGACTTAGCAAACCCGAATACTTTTGCTAATATCATATTATAAGATTGAAGCATTTATGTCTCCCATCACACACAGGCATACTCCACAACACTCTAAAACCCTCTTTTAGACACATTCCTCATCTTTGGAAAGAATAATTATATCACAAAATAAGCTATTTGCTGAGCATAGCATAGCAGAATTTACAATAGTTGTTTACAAAGAAGATGACCCTAGGGTTGAATGGTGAAAAAGTTTTCACATGTCTTGTAACAAATAAACTGCATAATGGATCATTGGTCTTTATTGTTGGTGTTGTTATCACTAATGTTGTTGACCAGAAACTTAGTTTCTTTTTCCATATTACTCTAATCCAATTGTAGCTGTTAGGATGTAAACTTATGGCCTAATCAATTGCTAAACATGTACAAATTCAGTACCTAGCCTCTCTCCAATAAACACCTACATACCTCTACAGCCTAAATCAAATCACTCCAAATATCCAAGCATCGACATGATTGGCGAGCCGACATGATTGGCACTTGATGCCTAAATACCACTGTCAAAAGTGCGTCGGGTGAGAGACCCAATCAATTAGAGGTTCCTACATCAACAAACATGAAAAGCCACTGTTTTCTATCTCCATATATAAGACCCCCTCAAAAACCCCATAAGTACATTTTTACATTCCACAATTATCCTCTACGATATATGAATCTTTCAATTGGCTTTATACTTCAAACGGGCATGACCATTGGAGGGTCTTTGGTCAGGACAAACCCACGCCCATATACCAGTCGGTTGTGGGTAGGGAGTCAGCTCATAGGAGTCCATTCGATGGTGATGGGTAGTTGGTTTCCATGTAAAGCTACTTGTTTCTACAGTCTTATTCTACTGCTCAGATTTTGCCACGATATTTTGTGGCAACCTGCCATCACTCTTGCATTAATAATACTAGTTATCGTGGAACCAATCATTCCATAGTACATATTCAGTCAAATTTAGGAATGATGGTATATGGTCTTAATAGAAATCCCCACTTGGCAACAAAAAGTGTGAGGTGTATGAAAGAGTTTCAATGTCGAAGAATGCACTGAAGGTGTAATGGATAGCCAAATACGGCATGACTCCCGACTAATAAATCTTAATAATACTGCTGGGCCCTTTTATTACTTTCATGTATTACTCTCCAGCAAGAGTCCATATAGTTAACCAGTAAAGGTTAAATGTTTCTCATTTTGCTACAATCATCATTAGCACAGACAAAACAAATTAAAAGCCTATTTTTAATTGCATCATCAGAAAATTTAATTACATCAAAAAATCCTAACCTGATGATATGGTAGAGATAGAGGACTGTTCAGGGGACCGGTGATGGGCTGGTTAGATTTTATGATCTCCGTGAATCATAAAGCTGAGCCCTTTTTACTTATGAGTAGTTTATATCAGTTCCCGTCATTTAACATATGATCATTCTCAGTTAGGAGTTTCAAAATAATTAAAAAAAAACCCTAAACCTATTCTTTTAAACTATTATTATTTTAAACTCGCACTTCCAAAACCATTCACTTACCTGACATCCACCGCTGATTCACTGCTTAAACCCAAATTCAGTATTTGATGCATTTATTATAGCATTTTAACCAATATAATAGCAGTTTACATAAAACTTATATAGCAGGGTCCAAAAATAAATCAGAGTGATAAAAAAAAACTTATAATAAACCGGCAAAGGTTAAATCTTTCCTCATATCACTACAATCATCCTTAGCATAGTCTGACAAAAGAACAATAATAAAATAAAGAAATACCCTAACAATTAGATCAAGAAACCCTAACCTGAAGACTGAATCCAATCGGCGATCCCTTCTTCAGACGACGGCGACGGGCTGGCTCTTCGACAGCTGGACGTTGTTCTCCTTATCGGGTTTCGGGTCGGCGAAGTCCTCTTGGTTGTAGATGACGGTGATGTAGAGGGAGCAGCTAGGGCAGCGAGCGATTTCTTCCCCCAATCGGAGATCCTCTCTCGTGATCTGGAAGAGATCGCCGCAGGGGCAAGGGTAAGTGAAGGCCCGGAGCTCCTCGCTCCACTCCATGTCCTCGATCTCCACGTCATCGTACGACATCGAGAGATTTAGACTGAAGAAGAAGGAGACGGAGACGAGTTGGAATATGTGGTGAAAATCGAGGAGGAGGAGGAGGAGACTATAGAAAGAGGGAGAAGATGGGATTTTTACAGGGTTTGCGTCTGAGGGTTCTCTCCTATATTTGTTGTCTGCGGGGGGCGGAGCCTCGAAGGTGTGGCGTTGGAGATGAGGCTGGGGTTATTTGCAATTAGGGGCTGTTTGGTTGTTCTTGGTAAAGTTGTGTATTTATGACACAACTTGGAAAGTTGTTGTTCACCTCATCAATTTTACTTTTATATTTTTCTTTGTTTGTTTTTTATTCCATTGGAATTATAAATTGCTTGTTTGGTTTGTAAATGTAACTTTAATTGTTTGTTTGGAAAGTGTAAAAAATGGTCCCTACTCAAATAATCATATTGGTTGGAATTATTTTTTATTATTTTTTCCTGACTTCAATGTCAGCTTTCTCCTAAAATCATGTATTTTTTTTATGAAATCACTTTTTTTTTTTTTTTTTAAAAAATCACTAAAAAAGCCACATCAGCATATGAAATCACTTTACACTATTTTCACAAATACAAACAAACAATTGAAAGTGATGAAAGCTGACATTGGGACCCAGTTTTTTACACTTTCCATCCTTTTACATGGTAAAAACATACAACCAAACAGCCCCTTATGTAACATGAAGTTCACCCTTGCTAGCTTTGGTATCGCTTTTTTCTCAACGCTAAATTGCGCTTAAACACCCTAAAGTCTTATCATTGTTGCACTTTAACGCCCTCAGTTGTAAAACCTCACACTTCAATGCCCTAAAAATTCACATTGTAATGCCCTCGAGATTATGAAACCATCACGTAAATGCCCTAAAATTTATCACGTTTGCACTTAAATGCCCTGATGCTTCTAAACATTGCACTTAAATTCCCTAAAGTTTCGCCATTGTTTATATAGTTTAGAAACATTAGGACATTTAAGTGTTTAGTTTGACGAGGAAACTTCCCCATGATCCTTCAGACCACGGGTATCAAACCTTTGCGCATTGCAAATGGGCATCCCTCAATGCATGGTCTCGCGTATTCTAAAAAATTAAATTCATATGGGTGCTCACTGAGATCTTGAAGTACTACTCATAGGCATCTTACGAACTCAGCTAGGCACCGTCGGGCTAAATCCTCTATTTTTAACCAATGATAATCCATCTAGGGAAATAATAATATCATCATGATAAAAATATATTTGCCCAGTTTTCAAGGGCTCCTCTAAGGATGGATTCGGTCTAAGTAGAATAAGTAGGCAAAAAATGAGATAGAAAGAAATATATTATTGTTCTAATTGTATCACATGTTATGCATATAGTATATCTTAAGTAGAAAATTTTAGCGTCATTGAAAAGTAGCATTCCACGCTTAAATGATAATAGAACTTTAGCGTGTGAAACGTTTTAAACTTTTTTTTAATATCTACTTTAAAAAAGTCATGACTATAATCATCATATCATATCATATCATATCATATCATACTCCCTTTATATCGTGACACTCACATAGGAAAAGTATAAAGGGTATTCTTGCATACATAAGTAAAAACATGCAATTTTAGAAATTTTTAGATATAAGTGCATTAAGATATAAGTGGAGATATATGAGTGTAACTTCCGTAAGTTGTAAGCTATTTATGTTTAATTAAGCCTATAAAGATTTGAATCCTTTGTTAAACACAAGCAATAGTATGTGATCCCTTTGATAAATAATATACATCATATAATATGAGGTAAGAGGTTTAGCTTATACTTATATAGTACAGAAGATGTGGAAAATTTTAAGCATCATATTTTGAATAATTCTCAAGATTTTGAATTGTTATTTGCAATTAGGGGCTGTTTGGTTGTTCTTGGTAAAGTTGTGTATTTATGACACAACTTGGAAAGTTGTTGTTCACCTCATCAATTTTACTTTTATATTTTTCTTTGTTTGTTTTTTATTCCATTGGAATTATAAATTGCTTGTTTGGTTTGTAAATGTAACTTTAATTGTTTGTTTGGAAAGTGTAAAAAATGGTCCCTACTCAAATAATCATATTGGTTGGAATTATTTTTTATTATTTTTTCCTGACTTCAATGTCAGCTTTCTCCTAAAATCATGTATTTTTTTTATGAAATCACTTTACAAGCCACATCAGCATATGAAATCACTTTACACTATTTTCACAAATACAAACAAACAATTGAAAGTGATGAAAGCTGACATTGGGACCCAGTTTTTTACACTTTCCATCCTTTTACATGGTAAAAACATACAACCAAACAGCCCCTTATGTAACATGAAGTTCACCCTTGCTAGCTTTGGTATCGCTTTTTTCTCAACGCTAAATTGCGCTTAAACACCCTAAAGTCTTATCATTGTTGCACTTTAACGCCCTCAGTTGTAAAACCTCACACTTCAATGCCCTAAAAATTCACATTGTAATGCCCTCGAGATTATGAAACCATCACGTAAATGCCCTAAAATTTATCACGTTTGCACTTAAATGCCCTGATGCTTCTAAACATTGCACTTAAATTCCCTAAAGTTTCGCCATTGTTTATATAGTTTAGAAACATTAGGACATTTAAGTGTTTAGTTTGACGAGGAAACTTCCCCATGATCCTTCAGACCACGGGTATCAAACCTTTGCGCATTGCAAATGGGCATCCCTCAATGCATGGTCTCGCGTATTCTAAAAAATTAAATTCATATGGGTGCTCACTGAGATCTTGAAGTACTACTCATAGGCATCTTACGAACTCAGCTAGGCACCGTCGGGCTAAATCCTCTATTTTTAACCAATGATAATCCATCTAGGGAAATAATAATATCATCATGATAAAAATATATTTGCCCAGTTTTCAAGGGCTCCTCTAAGGATGGATTCGGTCTAAGTAGAATAAGTAGGCAAAAAATGAGATAGAAAGAAATATATTATTGTTCTAATTGTATCACATGTTATGCATATAGTATATCTTAAGTAGAAAATTTTAGCGTCATTGAAAAGTAGCATTCCACGCTTAAATGATAATAGAACTTTAGCGTGTGAAACGTTTTAAACTTTTTTTTAATATCTACTTTAAAAAAGTCATGACTATAATCATCATATCATATCATATCATATCATATCATATCATACTCCCTTTATATCGTGACACTCACATAGGAAAAGTATAAAGGGTATTCTTGCATACATAAGTAAAAACATGCAATTTTAGAAATTTTTAGATATAAGTGCATTAAGATATAAGTGGAGATATATGAGTGTAACTTCCGTAAGTTGTAAGCTATTTATGTTTAATTAAGCCTATAAAGATTTGATATATGAGTGTAACTTCCGTAAGTTGTAAGCTATTTATGTTTAATTAAGCCTATAAAGATTTGAATCCTTTGTTAAACACAAGCAATAGTATGTGATCCCTTTGATAAATAATATACATCATATAATATGAGGTAAGAGGTTTAGCTTATACTTATATAGTACAAAAGATGTGGAAAATTTTAAGCATCATATTTTGAATAATTCTCAAGATTTTGAATTATAAATAAAATTATATACTTTGCTTAGAATCATACTCCATTTAAAAGAGGAAGTTGTAGAAAAAACTTTCTATGGACTATATTACCCCTATTTTTTAAATATTATATTTTAATCCTAACTAAACTAAATTAATTATTATTGTTAATTAATCATATTATATGCCACTTCAAGTTTGTCTTGGCCTCTAAAACTTCCAATGTTATTGTAAAACTCTCATATTAATTATTAGTAATGTCTAATAATATATTAATAGACAATTACATGTTAATAAATTATTAATGGAAAGAGTAGAAAATAAAGAATTATCCTAAAATTATCATTATATTCATATAGGAAAATTATAAATGTATTTTTGCGTATAGAAGGTACAGACATGTAATTTTAAAAAATTAGGATATTTAAGTGCAGAAAGATACAAGTGGATGTATGTAATTGAAACTTTTATAAACTGAAAGATATTTAATTTAATTAAGCCAACAAAGATTTAAAGCTTTTGTTAACCAAAAGTAATAGTATGTGATCCCTTTGGTAAATAATATTCATCATATAATATGAGGCCAGAGGGTTAGCTTATATTTATATACTAGAGGAAATATGAAAAAATTACAGCATCATATTTTGAATAATCTTAAGATTTTGAATTATTTCTGAATTTATATACTTTACTTAGAAAACTTTAGAAGAGGATTTCGAATAACTACTACAAAGCGTTGGTCATCATATAAATAATGGACAAATAAAATCCATGATATTGGATTGCAATAATCGGGGTTAAGTAAAAAATATATGGGTGTTATATGAGATACTGCTCATACATAATATAATATTTTAATCTATAATCTCAGATATTGATGAATTTTCAACATAAGAATTTGTGTCAAGATATATGCTTGAGATTTGGGAGACCTGGGAGTGGAGAGATTTGGGATATGAATTGTGGCTTTTGTGACTTGTGTTTTAGTTTTGGTTTCCAAACACGACCTAATGCCAAGCCCACAATCAAATTAAAAATGACTCGATTTTATTATATCATCCAATATTTTCGATAATGATCAATATATGAGAAAAATCCTCAAAAAATAATAATTTAAAATCGTAAATATTATTAAGATAAAGTATTTAACCTTTGATATCAGTCGATAAAGCGATATAATGGTCAATTTTTCACATATTGCCTATAAGAGCAATATTTAAAGGTAATTTAGATATCATTTCATTGATTTTAAATCTCCAATAATTCTACATTATTCTCTTAAAATTTTAAAATTGCTTATAATTTAGGTACTAATATAGAATTATAAAATATTTGAGCTAAATTTAAAAGAATAGTTAATTCTTTGAAAACTCTCTAAAGTATGGGGAATGTTTCAAAAAAACCACTCAACTAATTAATTTAATTTGACAGAGCCTCCTAACTATAGAGGTGTTGTAGATAACCACTCTCAACTTTGATGCGATTTTAGAAAACACCCTTCGACTTAGCTTGTCTTATAAAAACTCTTCTGGTCTTTTACACGTCTCCTAACAAACCCCCTTAATGTAAAAGACTTTAATAAGAGATTTTGTGAAAATACCTTATTAAAGAAAGCCATTTTAGTTAAAAGAAACTCTCAACTATAAA